AAAGTAACCCTGTATCTCAAAATTTAACCCATTTCTCAAAAAAAAAAAAAAAATCACCTCCTCTTTGCCTCCACCTCAACCACTGCTGGCCAGGAGATCTCGACCGAGATCACCAGGTCAGGACCTGATTTCGACCAGTATCGCCTGGCCAGGAGGTGGTGGAGGTCCAGAATCATGGTCTAGGCCAAGATTTGCTGACTGGGGCAAAAAATCGAACAGTTTGTGGGCGTGTTTCAAAGGCAGGTGGATTGGTGGCTGGCGGTAGGGAAATTGGCTGGGAAATCTTTACAATCAATTCACAACAGCAAAGGACTCTAAATACAATCAAAATCCTTCCAAAAAAAAAAATCCCAATTGGCTCTCAATTGTGACAATCTCGCGCAACAACCAAAAGGGCAGTGGACTACATTCGGCGAATGACTAGATGTCAAGATGCTGGGGCTTTTGTTAAGGGGGTGACAGAGAGGCTAGAGCTTTTGAATTAGTGCTAAAAAGGGAAGCCTCGGTTGCCAAATTGGAAGTTTGGATCAAGTGAGAAATTCAAGTGAGAAATTCAAGTTGAAATTGGAGAAGTGGTCGCTGAGTTGGTAGCCGATAATAGCACAATGAGACCAGATTTTGAACGCTGCATATGATGAACATCTTCGAAGTTGTTCATTTGGCATGACGAAATTAAGAAATAATTTTAATCGGCAGTGCGGGAGAGACAAACGATGAAGAGAAACGACCCAAAAAAATTGTTTTCATCAATCATTAGAGGGAGATAGCAAGGAGGTTGAAGGAAAAGAGAAAAGACGTGCTGTCTCTTTATTTTACAAACCATCGAGATTGATGCTTAGTGCTTTTCTTTCCTCCCCATTTTTTATTTTCTCTTTGTTTTGTATGATGAACGACTAATTTGGGTTGGAAGTCTATGTAATTTGTGGTGGTTTGTGGCGGTGGTGATGGTGATGGTGATGGATATATGAGTGGTTCTGGTGGCGGCTCATTTTCAGTTTGGATCTAAAATTGGAAATGACTATTCTACCATTTCACTGTTATATTAACCAATTTTCTATTAGTTTAAAGGTGCGAATATAAGATTTATGAAACTAGGTGTGGGAACTGGCATTTCGCTTTACCTTGGGCGTGAACATGTCGTTTGCTCTTATTGAATTTATTAAATTTAGAGTGTGACATTTTCCTACCATCGTTAAATTCAGACGGTAGTTTTAATATTAAAAATGTATAATTGTCAGCTTGCAAAATACATATTATAAAGTTAATGTTACTTACACCCATAACAATTATTATAAGTTCACAATATATGTTACAAGGTTAATGTTATTTACACCCTTATATTACAAATACAGAACAATTACCTTCACCAACTTGGAAATTAACCATTTATATCTCATCTTTAATTTTTATAATTGCAATGGAGGTTTCACTTTTAAAGTATGTATGTTTCTACAAAAATTTAAAATTGTAAATATTGTTTTTAAAAATTATAAAAATATATGTCAATTAAATATTTATAAAACTACAAAATAATATTTTATTAAAATTGTATATATTTTATGAAATTATATAAAAATATAATTTCCAAAAATAAGAAAGAAACTGAAAAATTGTAAAAAGAGGAAAATATGAAAATAAAAAAGCTAAAAAAAAAAAAAAGTTGGTCAGAATCACACCTAGCTGGCCGAGTACGATTTGGCCAGAATCGTTGGTTCCAAACAACTTTTTTTTTTTTTTTTTTTTTAGTTTTTCAATTTTTTATAATTTTATTTTAAAAATGACTTTTTTTTCTTTACATTATTAACCTTAAAATTAATATAAACCAAATTAGGGGTGAAAACAAAAAAAACACATTTACAAAGTTAGGTGGGAAAATTTGCTCCTCCTTGTTAAAAATTACTCCCTCCGATTCTATATAACATAGTTTTAAGCTTTTGCACACTTTTTAATGAGTAAATTTTATCTCACCTATTGACTTTTTTCTCTTATATTGTAGGGTAGGAAATTTGGCTCGTTTGGTTGGATTTGGGAATAATACTTTTAGTATTCCAAAAAAAGTTAAACAGTAAAATACCCAAAAACTCACAATATTATTCAACTTTATTCAACATTTTTTAAACCCCCTAATTTGTTAATCAATTAAATACCCCTAAATATTTTTAATATTTTTGTTACGGCGACTCCGGCCACCCTCCGGCGGTGGTGGCCGGCTGTCCGTATTTGAGGGTGGATGGGGGTGTTTTTTTTAACTAATGTTTTATTATAAGGGGTGTTTTGTAAAAAAACAAATATAGGGGGTATTTTTTAATTTGTAAATCCTAAATCGTAATACCCGTCCAATTCAACTTTTTTTTAACTTTTTAAAAAACTTTTCCCAAAAAACAAAAATTGTGAACCAAAACAGAGCCAGGGTGTTTACTCTTTGTTTGGGTTCCTCCAAATTTCAGTTTAGGGCTTAAATAAACTTTTTTCTTTTTAATTTGAAGGGGAGAAACGTGACTGCTAAGTGAGTGGGAATGATATGGGTCGTTTGGTTGGTTTTGGGAATACTACTTTAGTATTCCCAAAAAGTTAAACAGTAAAATACCCAAAAACTACAATATTATCAACTTTATTCAACATTTTTTAAAACCCCGAAATTTGTTAATTCAATAAATAAACCCCTAAATTTTTAATGTTTTGTTACGACGAATCGGCACCCTCGGCGGTGGTGGCCGGCTGTCCGTATTTGAGGGTGGATTGGGGGTGTTTTTGTTAACTTTTAATGTTGATTATAAGGGGTGTTTTGTAAAAAAATAAACCTAGGGGGTATTTTATTAATTTGTAAATCTTATATCGTAATACCGCCCAATTCAACTTTTTTTTAACTTTTTTCAAAAAACTTTTCCCAAAAACACAAAATTGTGAACCAAACGGAGCCTTTGTTTTTCCACATAGGTGTTAAATATTGAAATAATTTAATAGGGAAGAGATAGGGGAAGAGATAGAGAAAGAGAGAGAAGACGTGGGCATAGAAAAAAGTGGGGAGGGGCAGAGTAGAGAAAGGAGATGTGGTCATGTGGGTACGAGAAACATTGAAAGAGAAAAAATAATATGGGGCGTTTGGTTCAGGAATGTTAGATTACTGGGAATGTTAGATACTGGAAGATAGATTACCTTGAAAGATTACTGGGAATCTTTAAGAAAATGTGTTTGGTTAGTTGGTGGGTATGTTATATTAATATGGTTGGTTATGGGGAATAAATTGGTGGGTATGTTATTTAAATTACTAAATTGTCCCCTTTACAAATATTAATATAATATTATTTTTATTATTAATTTTTGAATAATTTCTTTTAACCCCCAATATTTCAGATTTAGTTAAAACACCCCTGCTTATATAAAACTTTAATTTATTACGAAATCACCCCTGGCTCCTGCCGCCGCCCGCCGCCACCGCGAACCATCGCCGGATGTACCCGAAAGTCCCCGTGAGTACGGCACCGTGACCAAGAGGCTCCGCTATGGCCGTTTTTGGCCATATTGATGGCCGAAAACGGCCATATCGAAGCCTCCTGGAGCCTCCCAAAGAATTTCCAACGGTGGTTCGTGGTGGTTGGCCCGCTATTGGCGGTGGTGGTTGGGTGGCTGTGGTGGTGGTGGCTTGGTGGCAGTGGTGGTCTGTAAATTATTTTAATTAAATAAGGGTAAAATTGAAATAGGATATTAATATAAATTTGTTTTAAAGTAAGGGTATTATTGTCCAAATTTTTTATTAATAAGGGATAAAATTGTAACGAAAAAAGATAACCCTGGTAATCTCAGAAAACCTAAGAAAATGGAGGTAATTAGATTACCTCTTATATTACCAATAGTAACCACTATTGGTATTTGAAGATTACTGGTATCTTATATTACTTGACAACCAAACATGGTAATCAAGTAATATAAGATGACATTACCCCAGTAATCCCACTTAACCCCGAACCAAACGCCCCCTATTTATTTTAAAAAATGTTAATACCTTCAAGATGACAATTATAAAGTAAAAGGTACTATAGTGAGAGTATGAAGTAAAAGGTATTATAGTCTTTTTGTAGCCTTACCCTTGTCAGCATCAGGTAATAAATGTTATTGAATGACTACGTGTGGGAAATTGTTTTTCTCAAAGTTTACGTTTGGGAAAATGTAATTATGGCAAATTTTGGATAAGAAATTGTCATTCATCTTGAATTTATTTTAATAGGTCCCTCTGATACCCCCATGTTCTCGAAATTATTAGAGTGTGGACCAGAGAAACCCAGTCCCTGTCCATTTTTATGCAAGTCACGCACTGCCACTTATGCAGTTTTGCCGCCATTCTACATTCATATATATGTTATGCATAGTACTGTCAATTATGTATACAACATTACTACTTTTATTTTTGAAATAATATTATATTACATAATTTAATTATATCACAAACCTTGAACTTCCATTTATGTGATTATTAATTATAGAATGATGTGAAAAAGATTTCCTTTTTCTTATTATAAATATGACGTTAATATACGCATCAATTTAAGATGGAAATTTAAAATCTCATGTTTGTATACATATTTAATAATTAACTGATTTTATAGTAACACCGTATATAGGAAATTTAAAATATTATATTATTTATAAGATAGAGGAAGTTGTATAATTAAAACTATCATTGGGTGGCTTTAGAGTAACATGATCTCCCAAGTTTAAGTCTCTTTAATGGTAAAAGTGAAAGAGAAATATCTAATAACACGATCTTCCAAGATTAAGTCTCCACCACCCTTATTAGGAGTGACCACTAAAACTCTTATCCGATCGATAGTTTCAGAGTCCTAAAGAATTAATTGAGATGCACGTAAGTAAGTTAATCTGGACACCTGGTCATAAAAAAACAAAATAGTTAAAATCATATAGAGACAAAGAATGAATTATTAAAATAGTTAAAAAGTAGTTGAATCATTATGAAATCTAATATTCAAGAAATAATTATGAAATGCAATATTGAAAAATGGTTCGCTACAAAGAAAGCAGGAAACCACAACCGTATCTTTTGCTTTATCACAATTGTTTGTCTCTCTCCCTAGCTAGCTCTGAAAATGGCAGACACCAAGAAAAATGTCTTAGTGTGCACACAGCTTGAATGCGAAACAGTGGAAGAAATGTTAAGCTCCATGGAGCAAGCAAAGGCTGAAGGTGCAGATATTGTAGAACTTTGCTTTCATGCCATGAAATTCACTCACGTTTCTCAGGTTGACAACCTCCTCAACGAAAAAACTCTGCCCGCTATACTTTCCTACAGGTCCAGTTCTATTAACTAACATTCTTGCATCCCTCTTCTTCTTCTTCCTTGCTATATTTCATTATTAAAACTTATGATCTCTTTCTCTACACATATTATGACATATATATTTCATTTATACTTTATTATGTTTTTAAATACCATTTTTTGAGCATTTTCAGATAATGAAGCCAGGTTATGCATTAGCCTACATCTCATTTAAAAACTATCCTGTCGCTAAATTTCATTCTACTTCTCCACGCTTTTTTTTTTTTTTTTTTTCCCTGTGTATTGTCATTCGACAAAGTATGTGCCTCATCATCATAGTTACAACAAGTGTAGAGAAAGAGATTATTTAAAACCAAGAAAATATATATTTATGACCAAGAATTTCAGTGGCATTCTGAATCTGGTGCGTTTAAAGTTATGAACATTGAACCATCTTGGTTTATTTATCATTGAAATTCGTATAAGAGTGTCAAAACAGTAGCAGGTAGGAAGTGATTTTTAATATATGTCAAAACAGTAGCAGGTAGGAAGTGATTTTTAATATATGTCAAAACAATCACACTAGTATAGGTGATTTTTAGTGAACAAGGAGAGAACCGTAGGTAGGAAGATTGGTTAATTTGTTGAAGAGGGAGGCGATGGTGAGTACAAGAGCTTGATATATGTGTCATGACTTATGCAGTATGATAAGTTATCAGCTGCAATTCATACCAAACCTTACACTACTTTTTAAAGTTTCGTGCAATTATTGAGAAAGCATGGGCCTACAAAAATATTCCATCTACCATTCTAAATATTTATAAGTACTGTACTTTTAAACTTGTTATTAGATATAAAAAAATTAATAAGTTGATATGTGGGCACTCCAAAAACAAAAATGAAAAGACCATGCAATGGATTCATAATATAGTTGAATGCAATTGGCAGGCTCAATTCATCCAACGAAGACTGCAAGAGTAATTGCATGCAAGTATTGAAACGGGCTCTGGATTTAGAGGTCGAATTTGTGGAAATGGACTATGAGGTACTTTTCCACTCTACTTTCACAAATAACTCTTTAATCAATATTGGAGCTATACATTGAACATCTTTGTCTAATTCTACTGTCGATGGGATTTTCCTAGAGTACGGCAACGGTGAAGTTATCGGACCAGCAAATACTATATTAATAATCTGAACTTTAATTAATTGCAGGTAGCTTCTGATAAGAGCATGAGCGAATATATGCACAATCGACCACATAGCAAAGTAATTGTGTCAAGCTACGTGAATGGTGGCAAACCTTCGACAGAGAAACTTGGTGATCTAATTGCATCCATTCAGTCAATCGGAGCAGCTGTTATAAAACTTGAAATTGCTGTGGACTTCATCACGGATTTGGCACCCATTTTTCAGCTGCTTACTCATTGCCAGGTTTACATATGCTAATTAAAATTACAAACATATTTACGCACTTGGCAATATATTTAAACCTGTCATTAATTTGGACAAACTGTAAAATTGATTTTGAAGGAGAAATTATTGATAGGGATAATTAATTATCATTTTTAAGGCTGAAAATGCTATGTATCACGGCTAAGTAATTCAAGTAATTGTATTATTTTGTTTATTCCTCAATGCAACCAACTTCATTCCGGGTGTTCCCTATGTTCAGGTACCATTAATAGTTTTGGCGGTGGGCAGTCGAGGTCTAATAAGCCAGATACTGGCTCCAAAATTTGGTGGGTTTTTAGTGTATGGATCTCTGGCAGGCAAATCAGTTGCGGGCTTACCTACTCTTGTCAGCCTTAGACAAGTGTATAAGGTTGAAAATGTGGACGCAGACACAAAAGTTTTTGGGCTCGTTTCAAATCCAGTAGGCCATAGTAAAGGCCCCATTCTGCACAATCCCACCTTCAGACATACCAGATATAATGGAATTTATGTTCCCATGCTCGTTGATGATGTCAAAGAGTTTTTTAAAACCTATACAGCAACTGACTTTGCGGGTTTCAGGTACACAATATTAAGAGAGCAAAATTGGGATAGCATTTCCTTAGATTAGAAGGATTATTTGTTCTTTCTAACTAATTGGCGTATTTTGTAGTGTTGGCATTCCACATAAGGAAGCAGCGGTGGCTTGCTGTGATGAAGTTGATCCACTGGCTAAGGTCTGTCTCTGTCAACTTGTATATAAGATTGTTTTCATCATCAAATCCTTCTCAACTGCCTTTCTATAATTTTTGTGTGTGGGGCCATAGATTGGTAAAGTATAAAACTGTGTTCATTCAAATCCAGAATTGTGACAATTTCTTCTTTTACTGTGAATGTGATTACTCAAGTTTTCAATTTCACATAAACTACCAAGTGGACCTAGATACAGGATGATGAATAGCATAAAAGAACTTTAGTTTCATGCCGAGTGAATTGATTATATGTTACTCTGAAGATATGATATATAAGATGTTAACACATATAATCTTCTGAACTTTGGGATGCTTTGTGATCAGTCCATAGGAGCTGTAAATACCATCATAAGGAGGCCTACTGACCAGAAGTTGATCGGTTACAACACAGATTGTGATGCTTCAATTTCTGCAATAGAGGATGCTCTAAGAGGTAGCATCTGAGAAATTTCTAATTTTTATAATTCTNTTGATGTTATTGTTCTCCTTTCCTTTTCTCAATGATTGAATTCCTAGCAAGGAGTATTTTATGCTCCTTATCAACATTCTACCTTAATACAAATAACAATTCACCGAGTTTTGATGCCAAACATGCAGGAGGATATGTCATGGCCCTCATTTTACGATTTCTCACTCCACTCCAATAAACACCTTCACTCGCCAACGTTCAGCACCACTAAACAACACGAGTAGTCCACTCAATGATATTTGGGTCTGCACATACAATATCAACATGCCCATTCAGTTCAGCCCAAAAGTGAATCACGTGCCTACTCAACTTCAACTGGTTCAGCTCCGACGTAGAAAGTAACACCCTTCCCTCCACTCGGTCCAGCAAGCATGGGTGGCAGCACTTGAAGGGGAAAAGTATGTGTCATTATATCCTTTTAACTAACACTCTATTTGGTTAAATCTTTCTCTATTCAGCCCATTACTTAAATACATGCAGCCCATTTTTCCATTTAGCTCACTCTTCATTCAGTCCATAACACATGCACATCATGCATATTGACTCTCCATTCGGCACTTTGCTTAAAACATGCACGCCATGCATGTCACTGCTCCGGCTTCAATAAAAGGTTTTAAACTACAAAGTCGGTCACGTCGACTGGGCCACATAGCCCTCAAAGGTTTTAAATTATAAAGTTAGTCACGCCGACAGGGTCTTGGTACTTAGTATCTATATTTTTTTCAACTACAACTGGTTTACATCGACTCAGCCACAAGGCCCAATACATTGATTTTCAACTACAAGTCGATCACGCCGACACGACCACAAACTCCACTTGGTATACACCTTCGATCGGCCTAGACCAATTCATAAGTTTACATATTCGATCTACCTAGACCAATTCATAAGTTTACACCTTCGATCGGACCAGACCGGTTCATAATTTACACATTGGATTGGCCCAGATCGATTCATAATTTACACCTTCGACTGGCCCAGACCGATTCATAATTTACACTTTCGATCGACCCAGACCGATTAATAAGTCTACACCTTCAATCGGCCCAGACCGATTAATAAGTCTACGCCTTCAATCGGCCCAAACCGATTCATAAGTTTACACCTTCGATTAGCCTAGATTGATTCATAAGTTACACCTTCAATCAGCCCAGATCGATTCATAAGTTTACACCTTCGATCAGCCCAGACTGATTCATAAGTTACACATTCGATCGGCCCAAACCAATTCATAAGTTTACACATTCGATCGGCCCAAACCGATTCATAAGTTTAAACCTTTGATCGGCCTAGAGCGATTCATAAGTTTACACCTTCGATTGGCCCAGAGCGATTCATAAGTTTACACCTTCGATCGGCCCAGAGCGATTCATAAGTTTACACTTTCAATCGGCCTAGACTGATTCATAAGTTTACACCTTCAATCGGCCCAGACCGATTCATAAGTTTACACCTTTTATCGACCGAGACCGATTCATAAGTTTACACCTTCGATCGGCCCAGAGGGATTCATAAGTTTACACCTTTGATCGGCCCAGACCGATTGAAGGACTTGCACCTCAAATGGACAAGTCATCGACCCAATCCACACAACGATCCATCCGACCTAAAGAGCTGCTATCACTAATCCGCTCAGTCTGCACTCATTCGATTAAATCTACTCAATTATTATGGAAAGGACTAAAAATATATAAATACCATTATTATTCCATAGATTTTTTAAACTACAAAGTTAGTCACGCCGACAGGGTCTCAGTACTTAGTATCTATAATTTTCTCAACTACAACTGGTTTACATCGACTCAGCAACAAGGCCTAATACATTGATTTTCAACTACAAGTCGATCATGCCGATGCGACCACAAACTCCACTTGGTATACACCTTCGATCGGCCCAGACCGATTCATAAGTTTACACATTTGATCGACCTAGACCAATTCATAAGTTTACACCTTCGATCGGACCAGACCGATTCATAATTTACACCTTGGATCGGTCCAGACCGAATCATAATTTATACCTTCGATCGGCCCAGACTGATTCATGACTCTACACTTTCGATCGGCCCAGACCGATTCATAAGTCTACACCTTGGATTGGCCCAAACTGATTCATAAGTTTACACCTTCGATTAGCCCAGACCGATTCATAAGTTACACCTTCAATCGGCCCAGATCGATTCATAAGTTTACACCTTCAATCGGCCCAGACCGATTCATAAGTTACACCTTCGATCGGCCCAAACTGATTCATAAGCTTACATCTTCGATCGGCCCAACCCGATTCATAAGTTTAAACCTTCGATCGGCCTAGAGCGATTCATAAGTTTACACCTTTGATCGGCCCAGACCGATTCACAAGTTTACACCTTCGATTGGCCCAGACTGATTCATAAGTTTACATTTTCGATCGGCTCAGACCGATTCATAAGTTTACACCTTCGATCGGCTCAGACCGATTCATAAGTTTACACCTTCGATCGGCCTAGACTGATTAATAAGTTTACACTTTCGATCGGCCCAGACCGATTCATAAGTTACATCTTCGATCGGCCTAGACCAATTCATAAGTTTACACCTTCAATCAGCCCAAAGGGATTCATAAGTTACACCTTCTATCGGCTTAGACCGATTTATAAGTATACACCTTCGATCGGCCTAGACTGGTAGCGTGCCGAATGCTCCAAATTAATAACCTTCCTAACCTAACTACTGAATTGCATAAAGGGTAAGCAAGGGTCGATCCCACAGGGAATGGTTCGATTAATTCCTATGTTCTAAAACAATGAAAACAACAGAAAAATAAAATAAAACGCTAAACAGTAAACATGACAATAGTAATGAAAAAGGGGTTGTAGTCAAGGCAAACTAAAGTAAAACAGAGAAATCTCTAATGGAATAAAATATCAGGTTAAAAACAATCAGTTCTCGGTTCAAGATCCACCTAAACATGCATTGGACATGAACTAACCGTAACACTATTCTATCTCGTTATTATGGAACTACTGACCCTAGGAAACAACAAGCTCTGTTACCCGAATTCTCCCTTAGTTTGTCACTACTGAAACAAGCTCTTCGAGTAGATACTAACCCTTGAACAACCTAGAACAAGCTCTCTAAATTTAATTCAATGGCAGCCTTAAGAATTAGGAGAATAGATCAATCTAAGCAACAATCACGCAAGCTCAGATTATTTAACTTAGGTTATGTTATTCAAGACAATAGACTGAAAACTTGTCCATAATCAGCTATCATCATGTGTCACTCATTGAATAGAAAAAGGACAATTACGGATCACAATTCCTAATTCTAACAACAAAATTCCGATGAAATAATTCAGCAGGCCATTACTAAATCACCCAAACAGAAAATTATAAACAATTAAAATAGAATAACATAAACAATTCCAATAAAAACGAGATTAAGAACAATGTTACTGAAGTTAGGCTACACCAATGACATTAAATTAGGCTTCAAAATCCCCTTGAACTGAAGAAGAAAAATCAGCCTCACATCTTGACGTAGAAGATAAAAACTTAGAAAAATACTCTACTGTTGTTCTCCCCCGTTTAACCTAATAACCCATGAATAAATAACATGTTTTTCTCCTAATTCTACCCCAGGAATCACGAAAAATCTTTCCTAGACGTTTCCTAAAAGATATACTTCCAGATTTGACAAAATCTTATCAGATATGGATTCCAAAATTTGTCTCCAGCTTGCACCAGGATTCTTGCAATGTAAAAGATCTTTTCTGGGCTTGGTCACTTCATAAACATTGTAGTCCCGGATGTGTAGATGAATCTGGGCTTTTGAATCACCTGCTTTCAATATTTGACACTCCAGTTAGGCCCGTTCGAAGATTCAATACTCAGCCAGGAAATCCTTCCACGACTAGGATTCCAGGTCCGGTTTTGCAACAACTAATGAAGACCCAAACGAACTCGGATTCTCGCCTATAATACTTTCTGGAAAGCTTGATTCGTCAACTTTATTTTTTCTGAAGAACACTGTTCCAATCGAGAACTCTGACTCCATGAAAAACCTGAAAAACGTAGCACTGGTCAGAATAACAAAAATCTGGAATTTCCTAATCTTTTATCACTTATTTCCTAAAGTCCATCCAACTATGCCAAACTCACAAAATAAACTCTAATCAACTCAAATAGGCATAAAACATGACAAAAAACATAATATGGAAGGAATAAAAATATATAAATTACACTCTTATCCTAGACCGATTGAAGGACTTGCACCTCAAATCGACAAGTCATTGACCCAATCCACACAACGATCCATCCGACCTAACGAGCTGCTATCACTAATCCGCTCAGTCTGCACTCATTCGATTAAATCTACTCTCTAAGCTAAATACTCTTTAACTTAGAGAGTAGGGGGCTAACTGTTAGGGCCAAAAATCATCTTGGGCTTGATGAGGCTCAATAACAAAATAAACATGTCACGGCCCAAGGCCTCAACCCAATCCCGATTGGGCCTACGCTTAAAATCACCTTGTGAACTACCCACTCTATGAGTTAGGCTATCCTATAAGTTAAGCTAAACTATGTTTCAGCCCATTAGCCTGCAACAATACATAAATAGGAAATCAGAATCCCATTTTATTTCCTCTGCTACTAAGATTCCAAATCTTACTCAAACTATCAAACTTAATATGATAAAGTCAAGAAATCATATCTCTTTCATGATAGGGATTATCTCCCAAAATAGGACTTAGTATCCTACTAAGATTCCAAATCTTACTCAAACTATCAAACTTAATCTGATAAAGTCAAGAAATCATATCTCTTTCATGATAGGAATTATCTTCTAAAATATGACCTAGTGTCCTACTAGGATTTCAACCCCTTGGGTTCACTATAAAAACATAAGTTTGCTCTCTCATTAGGCATGTAATCTCCCATAGTCAATCTATACTACTCAAAACCATCCATTTGCTCCTAAAGTTTATTTGCTTGCGAGA